GTGTGAATGAAGGAAGTTTCGAGAAAGAAGATGCTGGAGGAAGAAGATGATGCAAAATTGTAATTTGGTGGGTCCCACTTTTGTTTTTGCGTTGGGTATGACCATGTCATCATTTATCCACGTGTACAACTGATGTGGCTTAAATTTTTGATATATCTGTGAGTTAACGGACTATTTTTAACGGAAGGACCAAATCAAGGTAAAAATGGTAAACAGTAGGGACCAAATCAGGGATTTTTTTAGTTCAGGGACCAAATTGGGGGTCCGTACAATAGTTCAGGGACCAAAAAAGGGTTTTAACTAAGTTAAAATTATTTTATTCGATTTATAAAAATAAATAAAAGAAGGAAAAAACCCCTTTAACCCCACATTGTGCCCTCATATCATAGACAAGAAAGCAAAAAATAAGAGAGTTTCTTATGGAAAATACTCTTATATTCCTAATATTGTATACTTTTTTAGTAAACTGTGCTATAATTTTAATTCTATATATATTCTATATAGTAGGCTTTAATCATTGTAGGTTTTAAAGTAATTTTACTTGAATATACATTAATTTGAGGAATATTTCTTTGTTTGGAACTTCCTTGAAACTTAAGCTCTCCAATGCGTCGACATTTTAAAACTGGACGCTGAGTTTACAATGGTGGGAAAGAATGATGTGGAAACTAAAAGAAAAGAAAATCACAAAATGGATTTCAAAACTAATTTAGCATACAAAGATTTGTTTTTTTTTTACAAGTTAGATCTTTATTTTAATTAGAATTTTACTTTTTTAATCCTTCAAAGCTAATAGATTCTTTCTCAAAATATCTTTTCTATTTATTCTAAACTTGGCATGTAAGTATTTTATTAGTTTAGAATTTCATTTTTAATTAGATGTCTTTTTTTTATTAAAATTTACGTTTTTTATAAATATTATTATTATAAGGTCAAACATGTAAGAAAGCATTCGCCATGATATTTTAAATGAGAAATCTTTTATTTATAGTATATAATCTATTGTTATTCTCATAAACTTGTTTATCTTTTTTTATAGGTAGAATTTAATTTGTTTTATTTTTTAGGATTTTAGATTTGAATATGATAAATTCTTATATTTTCTCTCTCAATTTTATTTTAAGATATGGCTGAATGTGGGCAGATTTTGAGTTTTTTTCCTTTTTGGTGAAAATGAAGAATACATAAAGAAATTAGTTACAGGTGTCCCTGGGAGTAACCAACCCCGTAAGCACCAGCAGACAAAAAAAATACCAATGGCATGAGGGGTGGGATCACAAAATATATACGCAAGCCATCGGACACATTAAAGCGATTCTTAGCAATACGTCAAAAGGCATGATGCCTTCATGCCAAGTGTGATGAATACTGCACTTGGGAATGAGCTGAATGAGGTTTTATGTTTAATTATTTGCTTAATTAGCTTATAATGGAAAGGACAAAGAAAAAGGGCAAAAGAGAAGAGAGAAAGAAAATGGAATAAAGGAAAACAATAAAGCACAAAAGGGAAAGAAAATGGAATAATGGAAAGGAGAAGCAAGAGAATCTAGTTCGACGCGATTCCATTATTCCATTGTCACACATATACAACAGTGGTTTAAGTAGTTTTCTAAAGTTTATAAATAGGGTGTGCTCCTTTTTTTAATGGGTACCTCATCCTCACCTAGTTTTCAATAACTGATATTTCCCATTTTACTTGCTATTGTCTCATATATCTGCGTTCTGATATATATATAGGGAGGATGAAGCCCAAAGACTTTCTTCATGAACATCCACTGCACTACTTTGAAGAGTGGAGCAATAATGTCCACGGTAAGACTAGAGGTGTAAATTGCTCATCAGGATGTGGGCAGCCAATCTCAACTCAGTTCTATGCATGCATCGACTGTAAGTTTTTCCTTCATAAATCATGTTCTGAGCTACCACTGAACATCACTCACCCCTTTCATGATAATCATCCTCTCACTCTTTTAGCCAAAGCACCAGCCTCGGCTTCTTGTGATTTTTGTGGTAATTTAGTCGATGGATTTGTTTACCATTGTTCTTGTTGTCGTTTCAAACTTCACATCATATATGCCCTTCTCCCACAATTCCTCACTGGAAATTTCCCAAAACGTGATCATCATTTTAGTGATGTCGATGAACACCCACTCTTCTTCATCCAAGAGGATCTTATTAGCAGCAATAAGGTTGAACTACATTCTCGTTGTTTTGTTTGTCCAGAATCATTATTTGGTAATTCTTTTTATTACTGCCCAGAATGCCAATTTTTCCTTCATAAATCATGTGAATTTGAAGAGCTACCTTTGGAAATTAATCACTCTCTCCACGATAAACATGCTCTCCATCTCATAAAAAGAGACCCCAGACAATCGAATAGACGAGCGTGTAAATTTTGTCTTAATGATACTAAGGGATATAGGTACAGGTGTTCAGTGTTCTCCTTGTAAGTTCCAGCTTCATCCCCGATGTGCTTTGCTCATCACCAAAGATCTCCCAAAACGTGATCATCATTTTAGCCATGTTGAACACCCACTCGTCTTTGTCCAAATGCTTAGCAACGAAGTTAAAATAAATTCTTCCTGCTCTGTTTGCTCAAAGCCATTATTGGGCACTTCTTTTTACAATTGTCCTGATTGTGGATTTTTCCTTCACAAAGAATGTGAGGCAGAGTTGTGGCCTGAGATTGAGCATGTTGCCCACCCTGCACACCCTCTTATTCCTGTATTTTCAGCAAATTATACCTGCAACTTTTGCCAAGGTAAAAGTAATGTGAAGAAAAGTGGATATAAATGCCTCCCTTGTGGCTTTTATATTCATCACGAGTGTACTTTACCTAGGTTCTTCCCAGAAAGTAAGATCCATGAACACGAGTTGAGCCCATTCATGAGGAAAAATCCCTTTATTTGCGATGCATGTGGGGGGGCAGGAGATGATGCTCGCTATTTTTGTTCAAAGTGCAGTATCACGATCCATAAGGATTGCATTTTCCTGCCAAAACTCATCAAATTCAAACTGCACAATCATCATATACTTGGCCACAACTACAGGTTTCCACAAAAAGTGGGTGAAAAATGGACTTGTCAAGTTTGTTTCAAAAAGGTGGTGGCAGAGTATGGGAGTTACAAATGTTTGCATTTGGACTGTAATTATGTTCTTCATGGGAGTTGCATAAAAAAGTATAAAGGTCGTCTTTATATCGAAGTTGAGTCAGAAAAAGAGGAAAGTGATGAGGCTTCTTCTTCTTCTAGTTGTGCTGTGGGGCTAGGAGACATGATAAAGCATTTCAGTCACAAGCATGAATTAGTGCTTGATAACAGGGAGATTATTATAAGTGGTGATAAAGAATGTTGCGATGGGTGTGCATTGCCGATCTTAACTGCCGCTTATAGTTGTCCACAACCAGAGTGTAATTTCTCCCTTCACAAGGCCTGTGGCCAACTTGGAGAGGAGAAACCACATTGGGCTTACCAAGATCCTCTTCGAGTCAGCATGGGGTGCATTTTTAGATGTGAATTTTGTAAGTATGACTGCAGCGGTTTTTATTGCTCAGTAAACAGATATAGTGTTTGCCATAGATGCATTGAGATCCCTTTCAACCCCACCCACCAAGCACATGATCAGCATTCCCTCTTCTGTGATAAAGAATACAAGGGACCATGTAGTGGCTGCGGTAGGAAAATGGGTTATCATGGTGGTTACAAATGCACGCTAGCAGAGGAAGAGGAGAATTGCAAATTTTTTGCCTTGGACTACAGATGCCTGACACGGCCCCTTACAGCTGAACATAGGTTCCACCATCACCCTCTAAAACTCACTTATGAAGATCCTTACAAGGATGATGATGGTGATCCTTTTCAACACGTGTGAAATCTGTGAAGATAGAAGAGATCCAAAGCTTTGGTTTTATCGGTGTGATGAGTGCGATTTTGATGCTCATCCCGACTGCGTTCTTGGAAAATACCCATTCATCAAGCGTGGGAGTGTTTCTGATATTAGATGTGATTCTCATAAACGACTTCTCCTATATTTCTAGAGTGAGAAATATCCTTATCCGGAATGCCATAGATGTGGCCATCCTTGCAAAGATCAGTTGGCTCTTAAATGTCCCCACTCTGAATGCAACTTTGCTCTACATTTTGAGTGTGCCGTTCGACAACCTTAACACATGGAGACGGTGGCGGCGTCCATATTGTAAAGATACAAGAAACTCAGACCAAATCGGTAATTCTCCATTTTTTTAATTTGATAGCTTGATTTCAATCTTTCTTTTCTATGTCATAAATTGTTTTGCCAAAATTCAAACACTAATGAAATTAGTTTGATCGATAACCTCAACAATTAATTAATTGATCAACATATGGTATAGGCCCCCTATTTTTTTTTATGTATTTTGTCTCGAATGTCCATCAGTGGTATTATCTTTTCCCACTCCAAACTGATGTTTTTAAATGCAGTCCACCCTAAAAATCCTTTTTTTTTTTTTTTATCATGTAGAACACCCAAAGAAATATGTAAGAATGGAGAAGACAAAGGCTTGTAGCATTTCTCTTACTACTCTGGTATGTCTACCCGTCCAAACTTATTGGTAATTATTCTCCTCTTTAGAAATATATATAGAGATATATATAGCTTATGCTTCTGATTCTTCCATGGAATGTATGTATTTTGCAGAACAAACTGTAATATTATTGGTTTTACTATGGGAAGCATTCCGGTCGCTCAGACCAGCAGGGCACAATTGCTTTCACTGATGGGGTGGTCTGTTACCATGACTATGTATGTTTTATATATAGTCAAATTTGCTATAATTTTAATTCATAAAGAGGAACTCTTTGTCAATTTCTACTATTGAAAAGAAGGATCATTCAGGTACAATTTCTGCACTTTGCTAATTTGCTCTGATTTTTTCCCTTAAGAAAACAGCTTCAATTCAACTTAATACAGTAGGTAGTATAGCTCTACTTGTCAATTTCTGCTACTGAAATTTAAAAAGAGGACTTGCTTAAAGAAGTGAGCTTTTTAAATGTATAGATACAATTCTGTGCAACTTAGAACTCAACAAGTTTTTCATGTTTCATAATGCCCTATGTCCAGATATTTTGATCTACTATAATAGAGAGACATTTGCTTCAAAACCAGTTACATGTCAGGTAGTCTATACTCTGTAGCATTGTCTGCGAGACTGCGACATCTAACGTTAAAAACTCATCTAGGAGAGATGACTTCTTTTAACATTCAAGATAGATTGCGAGATGCAGGCTTCAGAAGAGGCTGAAGTTGAAACAATGTCAATGATTAGATATGCAACACCAGATGCTCCATCCTAGTGGGAGACAAATAAAATACAGCGGAAATTGGCTCCAAGCAATTGAACAACTTCATCTTCTGTAGGTATGAGTGTAAAATCTTGATTAAAAACGCCAGTTTACTGCATTTTTTGGAACATTCTTAAGCATGAAAATTCAGCATACAACAAAGTTGATATTTAAATTTCATAGTTTGTTCAGTAGTTAATTAATATGTAGAGGAACTGGCCCTAACTAGGTAGCCTAACGGTTCACCACCCAAGCCTAAACTCCTAGGTTGGGAAGTCAACTCCTGCCTATGGCTTGGAAACCTACTATTTTTCATGTTTTTAATAAAATTAATAATAGAATGCAGGGATAACGATGTTGCTCGCTTCTTGATGCAATTGCCACTAGCTAAGTTCAAGGAAAAGAAAGGAGCTCGAAGAAACAATCCTATCAGATGGATGCAGGCAAATGGAGAAGACACATGCATGTTTTCCTTCCCAAGTATGCCTTGGTATGCTAGTCTCTTCAACCAATCAACCTCATAGTAATTTTAACATTGGAAAATTGATGTTTGGTTTAACCGATAGGTTTAATTAACATGGAACAAAAAATTGTAGACTAATTAACTAATCACATAGAAATTAATTAGAATATATTCCTTAATCTTGGACTTTGAGAGTTAAAAACAATAGAATAATAATTAGAAGCAATCTCATTAATAGCATTGGCTATTTCAAAAGATTATTCTGTTCATAATGAATCAACTGGCATTACAAAATAAGCATCTGCGAAAACCTGGTCATTACAGCATTCATCCTGACAAGAAAACTGGAATGATCTAAGCTTCATAAATTTTGCATTCTTCATCAGCAGGGCTTGTCTTGCAGAAATCCTCCAAGGGATCACCATTTCCTGCAGCAGGCATTCCAGGCCACTTGCTTGCTACAAGATGTGCCAAATCAACGACCCGTTGGCTGCAATTATCCATCATATTATTGTAAATAACTAGTAAGGCACAAATATGGTTGTAGTTAGAAACAGGAAAGTTTTAAGGAATGTATCCTGACCTGTATCCCCATTCATTGTCATACCAGGCCACCACCTTAACCATGTCGTCTCCCATTACCATGGTTAGTGAAGAGTCAATGGTAGAAGAAACATCGCTGCACCTGAAGTCCACTGACACGAGAGGAGCATCATAGATGGCCAATATGCCCTTCAATGGCCCCTCAGCTGCCTTTCTAAAGGCAGCATTGATATCCTCACCTGTAATCCCCTTCTTCTCAACATTCACAACAAGGTCAACAACTGAAACATTTGGAGTTGGTACACAGAGTGCAATACCATTGAGCTTGCCCTTGAGCTGGGGTAGCACAAGAGAGACGGCCTTGGCTGCACCGGTACTTGTTGGGACTATGTTTAATGCTGTGGCCCTAGCTCTCCTCAACTAGCAGTATGAAGCATCCAAGAGTCTCTGCATGATCACAAGCAGCAATTTATCCTTCTTTTTTCAAATAAATCTCCAACTTTTTTGTTGGAATTTATTTGGAATTCAAAATTCTTTGAATTAGCTCTACATCCAAGTAGTATTTTGGTGAGTGCCAGTATACTTGGTCTCCAGTGTATGAATGGGTGATTGCCATTGTTCCCTTGACAATTCCTACACATTAGTTTTAAACTTTCAATGAAGTCAAAGAAAATTCATAACTGTGGTTTTATGAAATTTGCCTGAACCGAATGAGCTAACATCTAAGTGAATGTGAAGAAGTGCTTACCCAATTCTTCATCCATGACTTTTACAAAAGGAGCCAAACAATTTGAGGTGCAAGAGGCATTACTGCAATTACCAAAATTGATCTACTTATAAATTACAGCATCAAGAACTAGAAAAAAATTTTCAAACTGCTTTATGAACAATCAACTTTCTTTGGATGTACTAACCTTATGATGTTTGAGACCTCGTGAGAGTAGTCACCTTCGTTGACTCCAACAACATAAGTTGGAATGTCTGCACCTTTTGCTGGAGCAGTGATGATAACTTTCTTGGCACCAGCTTGAATGTGCTTCCCAGCTCCAGGGTAATCCACAAAAACTCTTGTTCCCTGAAGAATGCATATGAATTTATCCAGTCATCTAAAAAGACTACTAAAATTTTGTCATTAATTAAATTTCCATCCCTTTGCATAGTTCACTAATCCAGTAGAGTTGTTGAAAAGATTGCTACTATGAAACTGGAACCCGAAGTGTTTGTGCTGGTGAGAGAAATTATGCTTTAGAGAACTGCAATTGATGAGAAGAAGGTGCAAGAACCCACCTCAATGACAATGTCAATGCCAAGATCAGCCCACGGAAGCTTGAGAGGATCCCTGTTAAAGACCACCATAATTTGCTTGCCATCAACACTAATGGTTGTATCATCCACAATTTTGACTTCTGCTTTGAAAGTTCCAAGCATTGAACCGTATTTCAACAAATGTGAAGCCTGTGTTTATATGGCACACTAGAAGTTGATGAATGTAACTAATTAATATCACTTGTTAATGTTAACTATAGTCAGGGAAACTGTCAGTTACTTACATTCTTGACACCACCGCTGTCATTAACAACAACCACATCAAGGGGTGAGTCTTTCCTGCCAATGCGTCCAAATCCATTGATTGCAACCTTCAATTTGGCAACCGTTTCTCTCCTGACTGGAGTTGATGCTACTGTCTAAATTTGGAAATACCCATCAGAAGTCAGAACCACGACAACGGTGCCTCACAACAAACTATATTTTAGGAACATAAGGTTCATGTTGAAAGTACTTTGTACTTTTTTTGTATATTTTCACTATTCAGCTGATTATTCACAAGGATGATGTGCTTTTTCTTTCATAGAAGACATCATGAGATTCATGAAAAGTTGAAGGCAGGGAAATTTTCTTTCATGCAGCCTAATCCAAAGCTCGTAAGATCTGATCAATTGTC